CTTTCAAACTTTTAAAATAAAATGATTAATCTCGCATATCTTTTGCTTGTTTTTCTTATTCTCTCTAATACTATCTCAAGGTAGATCATGTTAATCAGAATTGGGGTAGCAGGTACCCGTTATTAATGGAAAATGAAGAAAATCAGCAGGTTTTTGTAAGAAAAAGCTAGGTTATTGAAAAAGTGAAAACTAATGTAGATAAAATAATCAATGGAAAGAAAGAGAATTATATGTAGTTCAAATGTACATAAGATTAAAAATCTATCAGCAGTGGGTTGCTGGCATCAGAGAATCAAATACATCCCCACTGAAAATTTTGTAATTTTGAAGGGGGGTGACCTACAGTTTAGCCAATTTTCATGGACATTTCATGGAATTGATGTTAAATATGTATATTCTCATGAAAGGCAAATATATTCATTTGCATATCATTTCTTATTATTGACATAATTAATAAATTGATTAAATGCCAAGGGCAGATAAATCATATTGTCTGATTGAATACAGTGCTCAATTGTAAGCAAAGTGCTTAAATAACTGCAGTTCTGAAGAAATTTATTTTCTAATAATCTATCAAAAGTTCTAAATAACTTAAATATTAAGAGATTAACTAGATTTTCTAGGAAAACCATACCTTGGAACTCTTAATGAAAGCAAAGGGACCATCCTGAGCGTGTCCATGTGTTGTTCATTGTAAGAGGGGAGGGTTCATTAATCTCCTCCTTCTTGAGAATGCATCACTGAAATACATTTTGTTTTATTAAAACATACTGATAAATGCATGTAGTAGCTTATATTCTATTTTTTTTATTATTTACACCATCTTTTGAATTTTTTATAAGCATTAGTGATGAAATAGCTTTAAAATATTCATGTTTAAATAGAATTTACTGAGATAAATATTTTTAAAAATATCTAAGAAATTAAAAAAAAAATAACTGCAGATAAGCATGACTCTTGTTGTTCAAATAAACCACATTTTGATAAAATTCCTTCATTTTCCAGCATCATTAGAGTACAAAATCCCCCCCCCTCTTTCTGCAGAATAACAAGATTGGATATGGCAAGGAGGAGAGGATATTCAGACACTTTTTCATCATTTTTGCAATAATAATTTTGCAAATTTCTTAGATTTTCAATGTATTTTCTGCTAAAATATATTTTACAGTAATCTCAATTAAATTTCCTACTAGTAATCTGTAATTTTTCCCCAAACTATAATTTTTATATCAAGCCAGCACTGATTACAGGACTGAAATTGGCTTTGTTGCTGGATTAGGCCCCTTAATTAAAAACAAAGTAACCTAATTACTTAACAGCAGTCTAATTTTGTTATAAATTATTCAATTAACTCTAATTTACACAAATTTGAAAGAGGATTAGTCAATCTGTTCCAATGTCTGCACTCATAGAATAAATGGATTTAAATGAATTTCTCAAACTGCAAGGGGGATATTCATATGTTCTGTGTATTGATGATGCCCATAAACATCAATATTGTATTATTTACAATATTCACAGTAAATTTCAGCAGAAATATTTATTTAAAATTATTTACATGTACATTTATTGAAAATATGAGAGCTAGGGCAAAAAAATTAGCATTTTTTCACCATGTGCAGCCCCCATTGTGGGCCTCAATTTACCCAAACCCTCTATTTTTTTAAGAAATAGTAAAAACTAATTAAAATATGATCTCAATGCCAAATACATACCTATTCTATAGAGTAAAAGAAACATTTATAAAAAGTGGTCAATTTAGTAAATTTAGAACACACATCCATTGCTTATCTCACCTCTTGAATATTGGGACTGACAGTCTTAGCTTAAGTACACCATTGGCTGTTACATTTCACACCCCAGTCAATCAGACCCTCATCTGTAAAACAGAAAAAATGTCAATAAATTGAAGCATTTTTCTATTTTTCTTTCAAACTTTTAAAATAAAATGATTAATCTTGCATATGTTTTGCTTGTTTTTCTTATTATCTCTAATAATTTCTCAAGGTAGATCATGTTAATCATTCAGGGTAGCTCTATTAACGGAAAATGAAGAAAATCAGCAGGTTTTTGTAAGAAAAAGCAAGGTGTAAGAAAAAGCATGTAATGGAAAGAGTGAAATCTTTTTGTAATGTAGATAAAATAATCAATGGAAAGAAAGAGAATTATATGTAGTTCAAATGTACATAAGATTAAAAAAAAATCTATCAGCAGTGGGTTGCTGGCATCAGAGAATCAAATACATCCCCGCTGAAAATTTTGTAATTTTGAAGGGGGGTGACCTACATTTAGCCAATGTTCATGGACATTTCATGGAATTGATGTTAAATATGTATATTCTCATGAAAGGCAAAGATAGTCGTTTGCATATCATTTCTTATTATTGACATAATTAATAAAATGATTAAATGCCAAGGGCAGATAAATCATATTGTCTGATTGAATACAGTGCTCAATTGTAAGCAAAGTGCTTAAATAACTGCAGTTCTGAAGAAATTTATTTTCTAATAATCTATCAAAAGTTCTAAATAACTTAAATATTAAGAGATTAACTAGATTTTCTAGGAAAACCATACCTTGGAACTCTTAATGAAAGCAAAGGGACCATCCTGAGAGTGTCCATGTGTTGTTCATTGTAAGAGGGGAGGGTTCATTAATCTCCTCCTTCTTGAGAATGCATCACTGAAATACATTTTGTTTTATTAAAACATACTGATAAATGCATGTAGTAGCTTATATTCTATTTTTTTATTATTTACACCATCTTTTGAATTTTTTATAAGCATTAGTGATGAAATAGCTTTAAAATATTCATGTTTAAATAGAATTTACTGAGATAAATATTTTTAAAAATATCTAAGAAATTAAAAAAAAAAAATAACTGCAGATAAGCATGACTCTTGTTGTTCAAATAAACCACATTTTGATAAAATTCCTTCATTTTCCAGCATCATTAGAGTACAAAATCCCCCCCCCCTCTTTTCTGCAGAATAACAAGATTGGATATGGCAAGGAGGAAGGATATTCAGACACTTTTTTCATCATTTTTGCAATAATAATTTTGCAAATTTCTTAGATTTTCAATGTATTTTCTGCTAAAATATATTTTACAGTAATCTCAATTAAATTTCCTACTAGTAATCTGTAATTTTTCCCCAAACTATAATTTTTATATCAAGCCAGCACTGATTACAGGACTGAAATTGGCTTTGTTGCTGGATTAGGCCCCTTAATTAAAAACAAAGTAACCTAATTACTTAACAGCAGTCTAATTTTGTTATAAATTATTCAATTAACTCTAATTTACACAAATTTGAAAGAGGATTAGTCAATCTGTTCCAATGTCTGCACTCATAGAATAAATGGATTTAAATGAATTTCTCAAACTGCAAGGGGGATATTCATATGTTCTGTGTATTGATGATGCCCATAAACATCAATATTGTATTATTTACAATATTCACAGTAAATTTCAGCAGAAATATTTATTTAAAATTATTTACATGTACATTTATTGAAAATATGAGAGCTAGGGCAAAAAAATTAGCATTTTTTCACCATGTGCAGCCCCCATTGTGGGCCTCAATTTACCCAAACCCTCTATTTTTTTAAGAAATAGTAAAAACTAATTAAAATATGATCTCAATGCCAAAAAAATAGGAACTGATTGATTTTTTGGCTGTAATCAATGTTTTTCCATGAAATACATACCTATTCTATAGGACAAACACCACTAAATGTTTTCCCATAGACTTCCATACAAACTTGAGCCCCTGTTACTCATACATATATTGAATTTCGGGCAAATGGCCTTTTTGTCGTGAAAGTTCGAGATATTGGAAAACAAAACATGACAGAAAAAATATACCGTCACGCGGCACTTTTACTTTCAATTTCCATTTGTTTACAACAAGGTGCGTTTGACACCAAATGAAAATCTCTAACCAAAGGGCACCCCTCCTTTCAAATTTTTACCTGTAACTCCTACATACCTCAAAGAAACCCAAGTCTTGATATTACATTTTTATCAACTTTATTTCACTTGTCAAATACATATCAAGTCTTTTCTCTTATTGACCAATCACGCACCAGGTAGCATTTTCTCCTCCGCACAACTTTGGGTGTCCAAAATGTCTGCGCCCATGTATTTGTTTATGTAGGGGTTTTTCCTATAGAGTAAAAGAAACATTTATAAAAAGTGGTCAATTTAGTAAATTTAGAACACACATCCATTGCTTATCTCACCTCTTGAATATTGGGACTGACAGTCTTAGCTTAAGTACACCATTGACTGTTACATTTCACACCCCAGTCAATCAGACCCTCATCTGTTAAACAGAAAAAATGTCAATAAATTGAAGCATTTTTCCTCTTTTTTCTTTCAAACTTTTAAAATAAAATGATTAATCTCGCATATCTTTTGCTTGTTTTTCTTATTCTCTCTAATACTATCTCAAGGTAGATCATGTTAATCAATCGGGGTAGCAGGTACCCGTTATTAATGGAAAATGAAGAAAATCAGCAGGTTTTTGTAAGAAAAAGCTAGGTTATTGAAAAAGTGAAAACTAATGTAGATAAAATAATCAATGGAAAGAAAGAGAATTATATGTAGTTCAAATGTACATAAGATTAAAAAAAAATCTATCAGCAGTGGGTTGCTGGCATCAGAGAATCAAATACATCCCCACTGAAAATTTTGTAATTTTGAAGGGGGGTGACCTACAGTTTAGCCAATTTTCATGGACATTTCATGGAATTGATGTTAAATATGTATATTCTCATGAAAGGCAAATATATTCATTTGCATATCATTTCTTATTATTGACATAATTAATAAATTGATTAAATGCCAAGGGCAGATAAATCATATTGTCTGATTGAATACAGTGCTCAATTGTAAGCAAAGTGCTTAAATAACTGCAGTTCTGAAGAAATTTATTTTCTAATAATCTATCAAAAGTTCTAAATAACTTAAATATTAAGAGATTAACTAGATTTTCTAGGAAAACCATACCTTGGAACTCTTAATGAAAGCAAAGGGACCATCCTGAGCGTGTCCATGTGTTGTTCATTGTAAGAGGGGAGGGTTCATTAATCTCCTCCTTCTTGAGAATGCATCACTGAAATACATTTTGTTTTATTAAAACATACTGATAAATGCATGTAGTAGCTTATATTCTATTTTTTTTATTATTTACACCATCTTTTGAATTTTTTATAAGCATTAGTGATGAAATAGCTTTAAAATATTCATGTTTAAATAGAATTTACTGAGATAAATATTTTTAAAAATATCTAAGAAATTAAAAAAAAAATAACTGCAGATAAGCATGACTCTTGTTGTTCAAATAAACCACATTTTGATAAAATTCCTT